TTTAAGTGCCTCGGCCAGCTACAATTGCCTGTACTGCGCAATCATTGCCCCCTTCAAGTAAAAACCTAAATAAAAATTATCTTTTTTTTAAATATTGAAATAATATTCCTTTAGTTTAGAAACTATTTCAGGATGATTTATAATTATTTAATATTTTTTACCAAAAAATGTTTATATTCTTTATTGTTAGAAAATATGATCTTTTATATTTTTAGCAAAATAACTATAGCAATTAAATCAATTCTACAAATTATTTGAATGTTGATTTAGTAATCTCATTTTGTATAAGCCTTTGGAGCAAGTATTTATCTAGTAAAATAAAAGTATGAATATGTATTATCAAACTTTTTATTTTATGCATTTGTTGTGTTTAATAATAGAGCATAAATATTAGCCTCCGTAGTAATTAGGTCAATAATAAATTCTTTACTGGATGAAAGGGGCCAACAAATGAATTTATACGTGTATGTTAAAATGCTTATAAGTTCTCCAAGTCAATATTCATATAATATATTTAGGGAAAAAAACAAATTTCCTTGCTCAAACAGTGAAGTCGAGGCGCTTAACACTAATGTAATAGAGGATTGACAATATAGGAAAGGACTAACACTTAATTATTAATATTGGATATCATATATGGAGTGTGCACATTGGATAATTGCTTGGTGACGAGAACACAACAAATAAGGACGATTATTTTTTACGTCACATATTTCATAATGACAATAATTGGAGAATTGCTTAGTGAGAACTATTCAAACATGTCTACTCATTTTATACAATCCTAGAGAAGGTTCTAACAAAAATATATCAAAATAAGGAAAAATTTGAAATAGAATTAAATATGGAATAATTACAACAGTTGAATAACCCACAAGGTTTTCTTGTAAAATTAAGTAGCTCCCACCAGTTGTTGACATGGCAGCAAGTACCTCACAAATTGTGTTGTCCTAGGCTAACAAAGTCCAGGAAAATATTGTCATCCCAAATTTTCACCGGGTACCTGGGTCGGGTCCCGATGTCGTAGGATGCAATATTATTCCGCTCCATCACTGAATGCCTTTGTCATCACGACCCCTTTTTAAACCTCAAACCGTCCAACTTACGACCTTGTTTGATGGTTCATATATAGCTGCAGTTATATATGTGTGCTTATGTTTCAGACATAAGCACCCAAATCAAACCAAGAAGTAAGGAAAGAAAACCGAAGAAAAATAAATAAAAGAAAAGAAGGCCAACCCGCCTCCAAACGCATAAATTATTCCCCACGAGATCATTCATAAACCCATAAATTTGTCAGCTTATTTTTTCCTAAATCCATAAACTGTCTCCCAGAAAATACACTTGTTAATCCTCAGAAGAAACTCAACTTCACTTCAATTCAAACTCAACTCTTAATATTGATTGTTATACATTCTTTTGTGGGTTTTGTTCATCACTTCGGTCAACACCAATAGGTGTGGCGTGCTTGTGCAGTCTACCAGACCTATTGGAGGACCATTTGTTGACCTCATTTTTGGTGAGGACTCTTACTTTTTTTAGAGCCTAAGATCTAGTTTTAGGATTTCTTACTGACTATCCTAGAGGACTAGTGACGGGACCAACCCTTTTAGAAGTTCAAACTACATCCTAGCTCTTTTGCAATGTCTCATAGGGATGTTTTGTCAGAGTTAAGTCCACACTATCCCTCAAATGAATAAATGAATATCATTTATTCAAAATTTGCTTAATAATTTTAAGAAAAGCCACCCCTAACAACCCTTTAATGAGTACATGACCAGTTTTTTGCCCATGGTTATGAAAGAAGTACAAAATAGACCACTATCAAGTCTTTTTTTTTATAAAATATCTATTAATTTCAATCTGATTTGAATGATCATATTGACCAAGAATATGTGAAATTTTGATGACTAATTTGTTATCATAATATAGTCCCATAGAACTTTTGTTCGATGTTCCATGTGATCTAAGGATCAATATGAACTAAATGAGAGAGTAGCAAAACATTCATTCAACATTCTAATTGAATGAAAAAAAAAAAAACTATCTACGGTTTTTGTAATTAGTTGGCACCTACTTTGAGGATGGAAAAGAATTGAGCCATTTACTTTGTGCAAGGCTTGAGTGAGATCCAGCATCTAAAGTTTTGGATGACTAGAACTGCAAAGCATGGCATGGTTATAGAGCTCTAAAATTCAACAGATAAATAATGCAAGCATGTCGCTCCATTCAGCAAAAGGACATATGGGATACAATAAATCAAATGTAATATAAACTCCATTATGTTGCACAAATTTTTGAAGCAAGACCAAGATTTCATCAACAAAAAAATAAAGACGATCAATCAAAGGATACTCTAATATTGATGTCTGCTAGAAAATTCACGGCGATAGAGTAATGTATTTTCGTCTTAGTGTCGTACGAAGATTTAGCACATACTCAAAAGAAAGAAAATAATTAGTAGTGACACAAAAAATTTTTACGTAGAAAACCAATAAAAGGAAAACCCACAGGATCTGACCCAGCTGAAAAGTTCCACTATAAAATAATGATTACAATCGCAACCACTTGTCCTACAGGCGCGAAAGAGTTACAATATTTAAGAACTACATTAATGTGCGAATAAACTTATTGCAATAAACGGACGGCGGCCGATAGAGATCGGCAATGGCCGGCAGGTGGTGATCGACAGTGGTCGGTTGTGATCGACGGCAGTCAGCGGTGGTAGACGGTGACAGGAGTGGTGCTAAACTTCAGCTACTTCTCAAAATTTTAAGCTTTTCCTCAAGCCTCAAGCTTTCTTCCCCTCTCATAAGAGAGGTGGGGCACTATTTATAGAGATTTGGGTGCAATTAGTGCATAAATATGAATTACTTCGACCGGACAACCTGAAGAGCTCACATACAACATTTGATGGGCATTTGAGTATCATAATAATGCTGGAATCGAGCAATCTTGGGCTAGTTGGATTTGTCTTGTCGAGACGCTTTATTCAACTATAGGCTCGCTAGATTCGGTATTCTTTTGACCTGCTAGATATGCCATAAAAGCTTGCAAAAGAGGTTTAACATCTTGATCGAGGCTTGATTTGGTTCGGATTCAACCCATTTTGGCGTCATTGGGTCTGTCTCGTTGAGTCGATCAGTTTAACTATAAGTGTTAAAATGGAACACTTGATGAATTTAAATCAAAGTTCAAATATTTATTGCTCAAAAGATTGCCTCAAAATTCGTGTTAAGTCTCGAGATTCGTATCGGATGTTAAAAATTTATTCATAACATATCAAATATGTTCAATGTTTGTAGCAAGAGATGAACCGTTTTCAATACATTAAATGAAATGCAGTAAAAAAGTAGCGCTTCTTCAAAGGTTGACAAAAAAGAACAAATATATGATTTTCTTGTTGGATTAAATATTGAGTTTGATGTCATAAGGGTACACATTCTCAAAAAGGAGGATTTATTATCACTAAACAAGTTTTTTTGTTTATGCAATTTGAAGAGGAAAAAATGAGAGGCATGACAATAACAACCCCTAAAGCCATGTGATATAAAAAGTATATAATCTCCTTAACTCTATTGTTATTCAATGTTAAGCATACCTTAAAAAACCTTTAGACCCAAGCTCATGAAGATTGCTTCAATCTAAACAACGTTTCCAATAAATATAAAATATAGCATCAAGAACTACATCTTGATCAACCATCATGCATTATTCTTAAGACAGCTTTCTTTCATTATTTAAATATAGCAATATTAAAGAATCTTACAGTGAGGATTGTGATGTAGCAAAACACAAATGTATTAGCCATCCAATAAGTGACACAAGAATCTTTAGTAATTTTTTATCTTTCATCGTGCTATCTATGTATCATAAAAATTCACAAATTTTTAGTGCTATAGATCTAAATTTGGCTCCTACACTAAATCTTGCTTGCATTTTATATTTTACATTTATGAGTTATGAAATTTCCTACTAAGAATGTGCAACATCCTAGTGATGGCGACAACATCGAACTTTGGAATTAGTAATCGGCATCCATAAATTAACTTACTATAATAGTTTGCATTAACACTGATCTTGGATGTGACTGAGCGTGATCTTAAATAAAACTTCTCACATTTTGGATGATGTTTTCCACAGAGAAATTGGTTCCAACAGTTAAGTGCAACCAAATATTTGATCTCACCAAATTCCTATGAGGAGTAGGTTTTGCTTCCAAAGTGGGGCTCCATTCACTTCCAATAGCTTACTTCAAAATTAATATGACCTTTTAGGTTGGATTCATGTAATTTGATAATCAACATCTTATTGATTGAGGAAACTATGGAGCAACCACCAATAATAATTTTATAAATAAAAAGTGCAGCTTAAAAATGCATTAAACAACATTCATCTTGATTCAAATGCTATGAGTTTCTTGTGTTAATAACACTACAAACAATACATGAAGCTCTTGAAAATGTGAAGTATGATGCAACAATGATGCATTTACAAATATGTTGTGATAAAAAAAACACCCAACGAGGATTCAGCATTAGTACAATTCACATAAAGAATTGGTTTGTCGTGTCCAGTACATTACATAATCTAATTATTTTGACAGCCATTAGTTGCTTGTCTTGCCAAAGTTTTTAACAAATAACTAAAGAATACTCAAAAGTTAAGTTGTATGTTTTTGGCATCTATTAATATCTCTACTCTATTCTATAATAAATCAGGTGATGTATAGATGCCCAGCAATTTGTACTAATAAATAACCATAATCATCTTTACAAAATTAAATTTCATATAAAATAATGTTATATGAATAACTCCAACCGAAGCACCCTAATCACAATTCGTTTATCCCTTCTCTAGCTAAATATCACAGATTCAAATAAAAAAGCTTCATAGATTAGCATTAAACTGCTTACAGAAAACAAGCATCAATATCTTCCAAACCTAAAACCGAAAACTTCACCAGCAAAGAAAGATCTATAGGAGGCGACAGAGTATACCTCAGAAGTACCGGAGCCGAACTGTAAGAGACCAGTCTGGCCGCCAGTAGAAGCTGATTTGTTCTTGAGTTCCTGAATCTTCCTCCTTTCCGCCTCCCTCTGCTTTTCCAGCCTCCTTATCCGCACAGCGTCCTGGGCTGTGCCCACATACCCGTCTCCCATCCCCGACATGTTCGCCTCTCAGTTCGATCACTACCGCTATCTTCTCTTCTTAGATCCGTTCACTGATCAATCACTCCCCCCTCCCTCTTCTCGTCTCCCGTCTCCCTCGAGCAGCAGAAAACAAAACCACAGAGAAGGTCGACGATATAGAAAACGCTCTAGGGCTGCAATGATTTTCAAAACGGGCTGGATCCACTATGGCTGCAATGATTTATAATTGGGCTACAATGCTTTCATAATTGGGCTGGATGCACTGAGATGGTAACAATATTGTGATGAAATCTAGGTTTGATCAGACATATTACTCTTTAGGTTCAACTTTCTAAAAAAAATTAGTAATTCACCGAATATGTCATGATTGCCATGATCAATTTGTTATTTTTTTATTAAGCTATTATATTTAAATTAAAATTATATATTCTAAGTAAATAAATTATTAAGACTTTAGACAATATAATAAACCATAACAATTCAAGCTTTTCCCCAAGCTCACATGCCCAATTTTCTTCCTTAATATTAGATCCTAATATGAATTATAAGATGCAAATTGAAAATAATATTATTACAATTAGAAGACTTTTAAATTTAAATTTATAGAAGATATTATTTTGAACATTTGATGTTTCATGAAATAAATATCTTTTATTTTTTTTTCAAATATTTTCAACATTATTATGTCATTTAAATAATGTGTAAATACTTATATATTAATTATTATTTTTGTTTCAATTAACAATTTAACCCCAATTAAACATTAAAATCATGTAAAGAATTTTTATATTTATGATTTTTTCTGGCTCAACACCCGCCCCTTTGGCTTCGCTGCTTAGTTCGATTATCAAATAATGACAAAGTTTTTTTTTTTTTAATGAGAGAAGATTATCATGATAGATTAAAAAAATCATCCAAAATTATGTTTATTTGAATGAATCTGTTATGTTTCAATAAAAATGAAATTCACGTCAAGACAATTCCTTGATAATTAGAGAATTTTTCATATTGTTAATGGTAAAAAAAATAATTGAACTAAATTATTATAGACATTCTATGCATGTTACTACCATATTTTATTATATAATGCACCGAAAATTTATTAAAAATATGTCGTCATATATAATTGTAATTTAAATAATTTATTGTATCTTGGGCACTTTTAAATATCTAAGCCCAATAAGAGGAATGTTGAACCTTAACTCCTAAATGGAATTTCTTCTCATTAAGATGTCATAATTCTTCACAATAAAGGCCATTTAGAATGCGATTAACAATAAATATAAATAGATTTGATTCCTTTAACTTAAGAATTGAGAATCTCATAACTCAAATGAGATAGATCTGTCAAGCTAGAAATGACAATAAACCATTGTTATAAAGTGAAGGGGCAAATCTCGGCTTGATCATAAGATATTATCACATGAAAGTTGATCTCATGGTCAAGGAGACATTATGGGTCAGGAGAAAGAAGAGATCTCATGGCATTGAAGTAAATCTCAGCGGGTGCAACTCATGTAAGAGATGGAGGATCTCATTAATGGTTTTTGCATTTATTAAACTTGATCTTGAGATGTTTATCCCATCATTAGGGGAAGAGAGGCAAATGAAAGTTGTGATGTCCTTAATTTATAGAATGATTCATTATCAGCATGAGGTACAAAATGATTCCTTTGGATTTTGTATATTTCACTTCTTTTCTGTCATGAAGAGGCATTGGTATAATATAAATGAATTATCATTAATGATTAGTAAGTCAACAAAGGTAGAATTTGATCCATATCTAACAATAAGACAATAAATATAGAATGTATCTAACTTGTTGAGCATATCAATATAGAGTGATATTGTTAACTTAGATTTGTTTTAATGAAAAAAAAAAATCACACATGAAGAACTAGAAAAGTACACTGTTTTTATAAATCAATTTTTTTTCGCTAGCTATCCAATATTTTATGGAGTCTTTCTTTTAAAAAAGTAACTCTCAAATCTCTAATCGCAACAAATAGAATTGTTGAAATCTTCCTCTTACATCCTCTACAATTATTATGACATCTTTTTATGATGATAGGGAATGTTACATCGAACAAGGATTGAACTTGAATCTAAATTATGAGTTATAAGAATATCACTTTAATGTCAACACCAATTTTGTAGACCCCTGAATCTACACTAACCTCGTAGTTGTTTGACAAGAACAGTAAAAATTATAAATACTTTTTTCTCAAGATAAAATCTACCTAAGACTTTTAATTTCCTTAGTTCTTCCGGGCCTCAACTTCTCTTTGTAGTATCCCAATCTTTTAAAGAGTTGTTTCTAACATTGTACTCTAATGAGTTATGTTATCAACTTTAAGTAACCAATTTCTTGATCATATATGTCTTATAGTTAGGCCTTTTGATTTTGTGAATCAAGCCATTGGAGAGGGAACAACTCAATTCCATCTTTTTAGAGATGCCATTTTTTCTAAAAAAATTACATTCTAAAAAAACTACATGTTTTAATAAATATACTCGATAAAGTGTCTTAGAGTTACTATAAGTTGCCATAAATCTCAACTCCAAAAGTTAGTATTCATTCGATTGATCCTCTTAGCCGAACAATATCTTATAAGA